ACTATTTAGAATTTCATAGGATTTCCAGAATCACACAGCCCAGTGGAAGGTCCCTCCCTGACATCCCCACTGACTGCTAACCAGCTCCACTTGTCCCTTGTCCTTATTGTATGACATCCTGCCAGTGTCCCAGGAGTCCCGGGGGCCTGGCTTCCAACATGGGGTGGGGAGGTGCTGAGCTGACCCCAGCAGTGTGATCGCTTTGTGACTGTGTGCTGACCCCTTCCTTGCCACCTCCTCCCCTCCATTTCCTCTTCCTCAGTAACATCCAGGACCCCACCGGGCTGAGGATTCTGGTCAGTGTTGGAGTCCTGACTCCTCTAGGAGCCGTGTGACCTCAGGAAACTTCTTGACCTCTGTGAGCCCTCTTTCTTCTAGGATGACATGAGGGGAAAGACTGTGAGTGAGGATTACACAAATCCACTATGAGGATTTGTGTAAATCACATGGTATACCCAAATATACCTTAGCTTCCTCTCTTACGGAGGAAGAAAAGATATCTGATGGATCAGTGTGAGGGCCAGGTGCTCAGGGGCAGTTGCTTTATGAGAGCCTGGTTACTTAGTTAAACCCAAGAAATGGCTTTCTGATTGTAGGGAACATGGAAAAGAGGACATTACTAGAACCTCTGCATCAGGTCTTAGTCTCCTGCAAGCCACAAGGCGAATTAATTAATTAATAATATAGACAGAAAATGAGACTTACAGAAGAAGCTGAGCTTTGGCCTGATCCTTGCTGCTCTAGGTGGCAAAGACCCCAGGCCCTGAGCTTGCCAGGCCTTTATTCAGAACATCAGAAACACAAGTAGCAGTTGACTCTGGGCGCTGCAGTGATCCTAGCACGATGAGGAGCTATGCGGTTGAAGAATTGGTGCCTCCCAGGGTGTCTCCAGCTGGTGTGGTCCTGTAATGGAGCATCACAGCATCGTGACCATTGAGGTCCTTTATTCAGAACATCAGAAACACAAGTAGCAGTTGACTCTGGGCGCTGCAGTGATCCTAGCACGATGAGGAGCTATGCGGTTGAAGAATTGGTGCCTCCCAGGGTGTCTCCAGCTGGTGTGGTCCTGTAATGGAGCATCACAGCATCATGGAACCATTGAGGTCTTAGCTGAGACCAGCGTTCAAGATGGAGTTCTGTTTGACATGCCATAGCCATCCTGTAGACAGGAAAACTAGGCCCTAATCATGATTTAATTATGGAATGATTTTCTACGAAATCGTGGAGAATTGCTCCCAATATCTGATAGTGGAATTTCAGGAAGAAGGGATAGACTCGGAGGCAGAGACCTCCTCAGAGTCTTAGGAATGCAAGCTGGCAGGCTGCTGCTTTCACCTTCCCAGGGAAGGCAGAATACTGACCTCTGTTTAATGCCACTGCAGCTAGGCAAGGGCCATTCCAGGGAGTCAGGAGAACAAGGGAAATATGTATTTATTCAACCACCCCTGCCAGGGCAGAAGCAGCTTCATATGTGGGGGAAACCTGGATCATTAAAAAGCACAGCAATCCTTTAGGGTGATCAGTAGCTCCCCTTCCAGGGCCCTAACGAGTCACCTGTCAAAGGGGGTTCTCGCAGCCTGAACTAGCTTCGTGTCATTTACAACCTACTGACCTGCAAAGAGGACCCCAGGCACCTTGCTAAGGAAATAATTAGCTGAACTATCCTTCAGGGTCACTGAAATAGAAATCTGATAAATGAATGGCTGCAGGATTGAAATGATAGTGCTGCCTGTATCACATGGAATGCTTGTCCAGTGGTTAATTGCAGATACTGTCAAACCTTTCTTCCTCAAAGGTTCTGGATTTTTTAAAAAACTGATCTGTCATGCAGCCCTGGGGGCCTCTAAGGTCTGCAAACCCAAAATCTTCTTATATCTCCAGTATAACAACAAAGGGCCACTCAACAGTCTTAAAAGGAGGGTAAAGATCTTGGTTGGAATTAACAGACCACAGAGAGGGTGGGAGGAGGGTGCAGAGAGGGAAAGGGGGCAGGGGAGGGGAGCAGAGGGAACACAGGAGTGCAAAGGTAAGATTCCAGGTGAGAGGAGAGGACTGCAGTGCTACGTAAAAGAACTTGAGTAGTTGAGAGGCAGGGGCAGAGCAGTTAAAACCAAGGAAAGCACTATGGATCTGGATGCACCAGTCCAAATATTTGATTCATGATAAAAATAAAGCACATTTATAAAAATATATATATTTATAAACCTTGATATATAAACATGTCAAGCCAATGAAAAATAAGTTATCTCCCTGGCATCAGATAGTCACTCGGGTGGGTGCTGTCCAAGGGCCGCCCCATGATTTTCCACAAAGCTGCTCCTCTGCTGAAGAGGGAGGCTCCTCCTGCGGATACCCAGCTGAGCTGCGCCCCTGGGTCATCTTCTGGAACACAAGGTGTCATCTTGATCGTGGGGTGTCGTCCGCGACCTGGGCTGAGGACTTTCTGCACCATCCATCCGCTCACCACTGGTTCCAAGGGTTGTGCTTCCAAGCGTTCACGTTCAGAGACCTCTACCCGGGTTTCAGAGTTCCTCATGATGTGAACGAGTTTTATTGGATTCATTGTGCAGCAGGATTGGTTTGTTTTGTAACTCTATGAAGCCGGAAGATGCACTGGCTGAGTACAGTGTATAGGCCGGGCCTGCTGGTTCTTCCAGCATCTGGGCCCCGATCTGTGGACACAGTACTCCCACGTCGTGGCTGTCGGGAGGCCTCCCTGGGCCTTTCACGGGACAGTGTCTGTGTAGGCAAAGATGATAATAATTAGGTTCGGAATGGTCCCAGGGGTCCCCGGCATTGCCAGGATGACTCTTTATTCTTGGCCTCCTCTGCGTCATTTCCACCCGTGATGAGAAGAGCTGGAGGCGGGTGAGGGGCTTGCAGCATGTAGCAGAGCCACCTCCGGGCCGGCCTGGGGCGCCAGAGCCCAAGGAAGGCAAGGAGCAGGAGGCATCTCCCACCTACACCTGTCTCCCGGGCAGCCCTGAGCTGCTGGCTGCTGGGCACCCGGACAGGACCCAGCTCTGGACCGAGCTCCAGCCCAAGCTTGATGCTTAAATCCCAAAGCTGCTGGGTTGTTTCTAGGCGCCTGGGGCCGCTCCTGCCTGAACTAGAGGGCACAGGAGTTGTTGCCCCCGGGCGGTAGGGCGGTAGGTGGGCGCCAGACTCATTTTAAAAAAGATTAAATGATGGCTCCAAGACTGGAGCCCTAACTCTAAGCCACCAACGTTTATTTTGTTCTCTTGTGCTAATCAGAATTTCCATTTTCCTCACTGTGAGTGAAATGAGGTTGATGGAAATAGTTGAATAATTCAGTTTTTGGTGCTGGTCCTTGGGATTGAGAGTAGGGCCTCATGCATGTTAGGCAAGCATTCTACCTCAGTTCTTTAACCTTAAAAAAGGTGTATCTCTTCTCTGCTAGTAAATGTTTATTATGGGAAAATCAGAAGCTGTAGATAAGTACTTTTTAAAGGAGTATGTGTATCTTCTCCTACTCAGGAACAGCCACAGTAAATGATGCGAACCACAGTAAATACTTTGATATAGCTTTGTTTTGTTTTTTCTTTTTGTCTTTTTACTTTGGTGTATAGTTTTACAGAAGCAAATGTTTAAATTTTTGAAGGAAATAAACTTAACTAATATTGTTTAATCAGGGTTTTCTCTTAACAAGTAAAGTGAAAGGGCTGGGGATTTGGCTCAGTGGTTCTGCCACCTGCCTCACAAGCGCAAGGGCATGAGTTCGATCCCCGATACCAAAAAAAAAAAAAACAACCAAACAAACAAACAAAGTGAAACAGCTTTTCGAGTCACTGTGTGACAACCTGTGTTATTCTTAGAGTTTGTTGTCTTCTGTCATGGGTTTATCTTATTTAATCAATCTATTCATGAAATTATGCCCACTTGTGTACTATTACAAAAATCATATCAATGAGTAGCTTTATATGGTTGTTTTTGTATATATGACTGGATATTTTCTTTTGACAGATTCCCAGAAATGGACCTGTTGACTCAGACAAATTTAAGACAGAATTTATCTTCTATTCCCAGCAGTAGATAAAGAGATAGAGTTTCTCTGCCGTGCTAAAAGACTGAGCTTGTTTCTTTATTGCGGTTTTACTTTGGCTTAGCATCTCATTTTAAAAGAGTAACTCTCATTAGCTGCTGTCACACTAGGAATCATTCCTATCACATAATTTGTTGAGAGATTTCGAGCTCATTTTACTGGCTTCTGTTTTGAAATTTGCCTCTCATTTTCTCCCTGGCAGCGGCCCTGCTCAGCATCCCTGGCTTTGTTGAACGGCTTTGCAAACTGGCGACTCGGAAGGTGTCAGAGTCAACGGGCACAGCCAGCTTCCTTCAGGAATTGGAGGAGTGGTACACGTGGTTAGACAACGCTTTGGTTCTAGATGCCCTGATGCGAGTGGCGAATGAGGAGTCTGAGCACAATCAAGGTACTTTGGGTGGGTCCCCTGAGTGGTGAGCTCTTTTGGGCCCCTGGAGATATTCTTGACCTCCTTTCCAAGGAGGATTAATTTGAGCTTTTTTTCAAAGTAGAATTTTCCTTGAGGCGGTCCTAGACTATGACTCTTAAGACTCTTGATAGTTACAGAAATCTCATTGCACCCATCCGAGAGGCTCTGATTGCAGGGTGGAGGACTTTGTTGCAGAACCAGAGGCATCTGTGTCTCTGGGACTGACTGGAACCATTAACCATAGAATTCTTAGGAACCCGGAGAATTCTTTGTCTCCGTTTCTACCTGTTCCTTTTGTCTTTTCTCTCACTCTGTGCTGCCTTTTTCTGGTCCTCTTGATGGGACTAGGCAGCTTAATAAGTGAGTAGACTCCTAGCCTCAGCCTCAGCTTTCCGAGAAAGGACTTTAGCCAGCAGGATGCAATCAGATTGTATAAAAGTAAGTGCAGTTGGCTTTCATGCAAGAAATATGGTATCTCACTGGGAAGGATGAGCCAGCTTTTCTCATCTCTTCCAACTCTATGTTGAAGAGGCTAAGTTCTTCCTTCTTTGGCCCAGCTCTGTACTACATGTATAGTGCAGAAGCTCCATCCCAGATGCTTTGGGCAGTACCATGGCTTCAGCCACTCCTGCCCCAGCTCACTTGTAAGTTGAGAAAACTAAGGGCTACTGACCCTGCTCAGAGTAGTAGCTCAGAAGTTTTGCCTAGAGGGACAGGCACTTGGTAAGAATAGAATCCAGGGAGGTTTATACCAAAGGGTATTCTCAAAAACATTGGAGATTTTGGTGGTAAGCAAGTAAAAAGAGAGTGGTAGATTTTCTTAAGAACAACGAACTAAACACTAGCTCAGCTAGTTCATCAAAGAACAGGGAAAGAGACAACTTAAGAGGAGCTGTCTTAAACTCAGGAAAAAACCTCATCCTCAAAAACAACTCTGCTAGAATTTATGATCAGACCTTGAAGCAGTGTACTGTCAAAACCATGGCATTATCAAAAGCAGTAGGGTATTCAGCCAGTACATGGGGGAGCCTACATCTAGATGCAGTACCAGAAGAGGCTTAACAGAGATGGAAAACCCTGCCAAACGTCATCCAGAGGTCACTGTGCACATGCCTGAAGAGTCTGCTGGAGAGATGGACTTCAATAGCCCACATCACTAAACAAAAAATGCACACAACAAGCCCTACAGAGGAGAAAGAGAACCAATGTTCCTAGCCATCTTAAATGGCTAGTTTTTAACAGAAATTACGAGACTCAAAGAAACAGGGAAGTGTGACCCTTACATAAGAAAAAGTAGGCAACAGAGATTGCCTGTGAGAGGTCTTAGATTTAACAGTGATTTCAAAGCAGCCATTATAAATACTGTATGGTTGAATAACGAAGGACACCATGCTTTGATGATAGTGTCTCATTAAATAGAAAACAACAGTTAAAAAATAGGAAACATAAGAAGAGCTAAAGGGAAGCTCTGAAATTAAAGAGAATAATAACAATTTTAAAATTCACCAGAAGGACTCAGCAGTAGATTTGAACTGGTGGGAGAAAGAATAAAAACACTTACAGAATAGACCAATAGAAGTTAGCATACTCAACAGAGGGGATAAAGAATAAAAAAATATGAGCAGAACCTCACAATGAAACAATTTTTTTTGGTACCAGAGATTGAACTTGGGACCTTGCGCTTGTGAGGCAGGCAGCGGAACCACTGAGCTAAATCTCCAGCCCTCAGAATGAAACAATATTAAGCACACCAAAATATGCATAATAATGTACCAAAGGGGGGGGGCCTTTTTAAAAAATAATGGCTGAAAACATCCTAGATTTAATGAAAAACATTAATGTATACATCTGAGAAGCACAAGGAATTCTAAGTGGGATTAAACTCAAAAATGTCTATACCTAGTTATGTCATAATGAAAATCCTAAAAGACAAAAACTTGAAAGTAACAAGAGAAAAATGGCATGTATGCTTGAAGGTGTTCCAGTAAGCTTAGCAACTGACTTTTCATCAGGAATAGTGGAGGCCAGAAGGCAGTGGGGTGATGAATTCAAAGCACTGAAAAGAAAAATCTCACCCAGCTGAGTGTGGTGGTGTGCACTTGTAGTCCTAGCACTCAGAAGGTTGAGGCAGGATGATCATTAAGTCTAGGAGTTTGAGACCAGACTGAGCAACATAGTAATACTCTCAACTCAAAAATAAAAAATGAAGGAAAAAACTGTCAGACAAGAATATGTGCAAAACTGTCTTTCAAAAATGAAGGTGAAGCTGAATGTGATGGCGCACGCCTGTAATCCCAGCACTTGGGAGGCTGAGGCAGGAGAGTTGCCATGAGTTCAAGGCCAGCCTGGGCTACATAGTGAGTTCAAGGTCAGCGTGAACTACATAGCAAGACCCTGTCTCAAAAAAAAAAAAAAAAAAAAAAAAAGAAGACGCAGAAGAAAGTAAACAAGTGGCTTCACACAGTAATATATACATGCAGTTGCAGCAGCATAAAGATAATTATATAAAAGATGGTAACAGTATAAATACATATTTTTTCTTCACTCATTTTAAAAACCATATGTTCATAATTATATTGTTGAGCCTATAACATACAGAAATGTAATGTATATGACAATCACTGCACAAAGAAGATAGTGGGGCCAAAGTCATATTAGAATAGGAAAATGACGCCAGAGGGTAATTTGGGTCCTCAGGAATCAGTGAAGAAGCCAAAGTGGTAAATAAGAGAGTTAACATTATAAACTCAATCAATATATGCTTACTCTTTTTTCAGCTTAACAGACATAAAATAATTATAACAGTGTGTTACATAACAAGGTAATGTTGAGTTTTTAACGTGTAGTCATGCATAACAGTTACAACACAAAAAAGGAAATAAAGCTATGTAGGCACTCGGAATTAAGTTAGTGTAAATGTGATAAAGATTTTAAGATGTAGCCCTAGAACAACTGCTAAGAAAGTAAACCTAAAACATCATTAAAGGAATTCTAACAATTACCTAGAAAATATTTACTTAATGTAGTAGAAGCATTAAAGGACACCCAGAAGCTGGGTGTGATGACACACACCTGTCTTCCCAGCATTCTGGGAGGCTGAGGCAAGAGGATTCCAAGTTTGAGGCCATCCTGGGCAATTTAGTATAACCCTATTTCAAAATAAAAAAACTAAAGGGCTGCGGGTATAGCTCAGTGTGTTCTGACTGCATTCAGTCCCTACTATGTTTGGGGGAAAGGAGGCAGAAGAACAGAAAATCTGTGTGAGACATATAGAAAGGAAAATGGCAGAGTAAATGGAACTTTATCAAATAAAAACATTAAATATGAATGGATTGAATAACTTATTCAAAGGACCTATTTTAATATTGGATTAAAAATGCAAGATACAGTTATGTGCAGGCTGTGGGAGAAATGCTTTAAATTTATAGATATAAACAGGTTGAAAGTAAAAGATAGAAAATGTGTTAAGCATAAGAAAACTGGAGTGGCTGTACCACAAGAGACATTAGTATAACAACTTTTGCACAGGTGCAGAGGGACATTTTGTAAAAATAAAAGGGTGACTACATCAACAATAAGTAATAGTTATACTAATATAACCAAGTCAAAAATACATTAAACAAAAACAGTTTTAAAGGATAAAATAGTTCAACTATGTAATAATTTGGTAACCTTAATATACCACTCTCCGTAGCAGTTAGAACTTAGCAGAAGATCAGTAGAGAAATAGAAGACTTGAACAGCTCTGATCAACCGGAGCCAAGAGACAGCTGTAGGGAACTCCACCCACCAACTGCAGAACACATATTCTTCTCAAGTGCACACTGAATGATCTCTCAGATACACCATATTCTGGAATACTTTTTAAAGCCTCATTAATTATAAAAGGATTAAAATTATACAAGGTATGTCCCCTAATCACAGTGGGATAAAATTCTAAAATAATGGGAAATTTGCAAATGTGTGGAAGTGAAGCAGTGTACTTCTAAGTAGTCAATGGGTCAAAACAGAAGACCACAAAGAAAATTAGAAAATATTTTGAGGCAAATGAAAATGAAGACATAATATATCAAACAGGAGATAATGCATACTTAGAGGGAAGTTTATAGCTGTAATGTCTACATTTATGTTTTTAAAAAATCTTAGTGGTCTAAACTTCTATTTTAAATCAAAGGGAAAACTATTCCCAAAGCAAGCAGATGAAAGTATATTAATAGAGGGCCAGGGATGTAGCTGAGTAGAAATTGAAAAACAGTAGAAAACCCACAAAACTAAAGTTGGTTGTTTGAAAAGATCAATAAAACTGACAAATCTTTAGCTATACTGAACAAAAAATAGTCTCAATCAGGAATGAAAAGTATTTTACAACTAAGCAAGACAAAAAGAATTCTGAGGGATTACAAACAATACATGCCAATAAATTAGTTAACTTTGGTGAAATGGACACATTACGAAACACAGACTGTTGCAGCCAGGCATGGTGGCGCAGGCCTGTAATCCCAGCACTCAGGAGGCAGAGGCAGGAGGATCGATGTGAGTTCGAGACCAGCCTGGGCTACACATTGAATTCCAGGTCAGTCTCAACTACATAGTGAGACCCTGTCTCAAAAAAACAAAACAAACCAACGCACATACACACAGACTGTTGTACTGAGTTAAGAATAGGAAATCTACATAATAAATTGTAATTTATATTTATAATCTATTTACAATAAATTGAGAAATCGAATTAGTAATAATAAAAACTGCCTCTAAAAGTCCTGTAGCATATGGCTTCATTGGTCAATTCTGCCTAAATGTTTAAAGAAGAATTAATACCATTACTTCATAGACTTTAAAGTCAGAGAGGAAGAAACACTTCCCAGTTTATTGTTTGAGGTTAGTATTACTCTAGTACCAAAACCAAAGACATCACAAGGAATGAAAAGCATTGACCAATATCTATAAATGTAGAACCCTCAAAAAGAGACAGAGAACCCTAGAAAACCCAATGCAGTAACCTTGGATTATACACCATGACCAAATAGAATTTAAGCAAGGTTAGGTCTGGCATGGTAACTCACACCTGTAATCCCAGTACTCAGGTGACTGAAAGGAGGATCATCATGAGTTTGAGGCCAGCCTCAGCTATATCGTGAGTTCAAGGCCAGCCTGAACTATGTAGCGAGACCCTGTCTCAAGAAAACACGAACAAAACCAAAACAAAAAAATTATGCAAGATTGATTCAGCATATGAAAATCAGTTCATGTAATATAAAATGATCATTTTAATAGATGTACAAAGAGCATGTACAAAATCCAACACACTTTTATGATAAATACTCAAAAAACAGAGAAGGGAATTTGGCCTTTTTAAAAATTTCATTAAGTTTATTGGTACATTTTAGGAATACAGTACAGTTACATTAATCATTGAGATATTGTACCCTTACATGATGTATCTTGGTTCTTTTTGCCATTCCCGTGCACTCCCTTCACCCCCTCCCCCTCCCTATTTACAAAGACTGTTTCCCATTTTTCCTTTTCTCATATTTTTTCTTTTCCCTTTTTTCCTTTCCTCTACCCTTCTCACTTCCCCTACTCCTTTAGACCTTTTCTTCCTATTTCACATTATCAGTTATACATTTTGAACTTTATTACACTTTTACTTTTTCACACCAGAGAAACTATTCAGTATTTACACGTGTGTGCTATTTATTTCACTTGAGTATGGCCTCAATATGCATCTACTTAGCTATAAATGTCTCTAGTTTCTTGTTCTTTATGGCTGACTAGTACTCCATTTTATAGAAAAACCACATCTTCTTTATCCAGTCTCCAAATGATGGGCAATTGGGCTGTTTCCAAGTTTTAGCTATTATAAATTGTGCCACTATAAACATGGGTGTGCATATATCACCGTGGTATGATTCTTTTGGAAAGATACCCAGCAGAGGAATAGCTGGGTCAAATGGAACCTCTAATTCTAGTTCTTTGAGGTATCTCCATATTGATTTCCACAGTGGTTGCACCAGTCTGCACTCCCACCAATGATGGAGAAGGGTTCCTTTCGCCCCACAGCCCCGCCAATATTTGTTACTGGTTGATCTCTTGATAGCAGCCATTCTTTCTGGGGTGAGGTGGAATCTCAGTGTTGTTTTCATCTGCATCTCTTGAATGAATGACCAGTGATGCTGAACCTTGGGAACTTGACCTTTTAACAGGCATCTATAAGATACCCACAGCTAATGTCATACTCCAAGATCCCGAACAAGACAAGTATGTCTATTCATACCACTTTTGTTCAGCAATGGAGGTTCTGGTTAAGCAGGTAGACAAAAAAGGAAAAAGAAGGGGTGTGTGTGTGTGTGTGTGTGTGCGCGCACGTGCGCGCGCGTGTTACTGAAATGTTGAACCCAGGTGTTCATATTGAGCTACATCCCCAGCCCTTTTATCTTGAGATAGCATCTCATTAAGTTGCTAAATGTCCCAGGCTGTACTTGAACTATCCTCTTTCCTCAGCCTCCCAAAGTCCTGGGATTATATGCATGTGCCATCATGCCTGGCTGACATGATTTTATATCTAGAAAAACGTAAGGAATTCACTGAAAAACCACTAAACTAATAAACAATTTCAGAGTTCCAGGATATAGTTGGGTGTGGCAGCCACGCCTGTAATCCCAGCACCTGGGAGGCTGAGGCAGGAGGATCACTGATAGTTTGAGGCCAGCCTGGACTACATAGTGAGTTAAGACCATCCTGGGCTAAAAAATGGATTTGGGATGTTTTTACCATAAAGAAAGGTTAAATGTTTGAGAACTAGCTATGCTTAACATGATTTAAACATTATACCTTTATGTATAAGTGTGTGTGTGTATATATATATATATATATATATATATATATATATATATTAAAATTTCACACCCTATCCCACTAATACATACAATGCTTGTTTTATGTATTAATTTATAAAATAAGTAATAGGCAAGAATTAGCAAAACTCGAGTTTTTTACTTCTATTTAACACATATGCTTCCATGTATCAGGGATTATTCTAAGCACCTTCAATATATTAATTTCTTCCATTTGTGCATCATTAGAAGGTAGGCACCGTTGTCATTATCATAATTTTACAGATGAGGATGGAAACACACCTGCAGTCCAAGCACTCGGGGAGGCTGAGGCAGGAGGATTGCTGCAAGTTCAAGACCAGCCTGGGCTACATAGTGAGTTCAAGGCCAGCCTGCACTACAAAGTGTGACCCTGTCTCAAATAAATAAATAGGGTTTAATGATAACTGAGGCTACCTAAAAATCTAGTGCTGGGCTTTACTAGTGTTCCTATCCTATCCTCACAGGAACCCAGCTATCTTCTGTAGCGCATAACGGTCTAAGGCCTCTTGAGGAAGTGACTTGCCCAGAATCAAACAGGCAGCAAATCACAACCTCAGAGGCATATGTCTTTATTACTTTGTTCTCCTACCTTTTCAAGTTTAGACTCCACTGTGACCTGGATGACCCACAGAGGATTTTTTTAACTGGGTATTAAATGAGATAGGTACCAAAGCTCAGCACACTGATGTCTGTCAAGTGGCCCACACATATTAATTATCTGCTGCTGTTAGTAAAAATGAGAGTGAGTAAATACACTGTAATGTTCTTCTGAATTTCTGTTTCAGTTGTGAAATTCAGACTGCTTTAGAAAGTCAAGCATCATAAAACCTCATGTTTCTTTTTGAAAAGTGGGAGGGTCTTCAAAAGGATTTCTCTCAGCCTTCCTCAGTGTGTCTCATGATGCCCAGACAAAAGAGCCAAGGACTCAAGTTATTGGCAACCTAAAAAGAGTTCTGCGTAGTTTGCTGTCTGACATCTGTCTGTTGGGGCTCTTTCTGAGGGTCTGGCTGGTGCCAGAAATGTAGGGGGATCAGATGGATTATGCTGTTGCACGGGATGTGTCCTAGTAGTTTTACTTTATATGAAAGTTGGTGAGACACGAGAACCACAGATTCCATTTTTGTAAGTCTGTAACAGTTGTCTGGTGGCTCCTTTAGAAATGGCTCGCCAGTTAAAAGTACTCCAGGTCCTTCTTGCCTCATACAAAGAATTGGACAAGACAGCCAAAAATGGTGCCAAAAGTTTATTTGAAAAGTGAGGGGCAAGGGGGTAAGGGAAGAAGCAGCTCTGCAGAGCAAACTTGGGCCAAAAAAAAAGAGAGGAAAGGATGAGAGCAAAAATAAAAGTACACTCTGTCCAGAACAGGTAGAGTGGGCTACCGTGAGGAGTCCCCATAGCAGGCTCCTTGTGGCATCTGGTCTCTGATCTCATGGGAGCCTAAGAGAAGTTCCGTGTACAGAGTCCTGGGAATTAATGACGCTGTCCTGAGATCTTGGAATCAATAGCTCCTGCTCATTTCCCCAGCCAGCTTTGCCATGCCCTATCTCCTATACTTTAAGCTCGCCTGGCTCCTGGCTGTGTGAGGGAGTTTCGTGGCTTTCATTTCTTTGATTTGGGCTCAGGCCCAGTGTAATGACTCTGTAACCTCCAGTCTATTCAGAGCAGGTTTGAGCACAGACCATGCTTCCTCACGGGCGGGGACTCACCCCTCTCTCGGGGCTGTGTCAGCCTCCACTGTGTTCCCTCTGCCAGGTGCTTCTGAGGAGAGTGGATTGCCTCACACTTCCGCCAGGACCCAGCTGCCCCAGTCCATGAAGATTATGCACGAGATCATGTACAAACTGGAAGTGCTCTATGTCCTCTGTGTGCTGCTAATGGGGCGGCAGCGGAACCAGGTGGGTGTCTCCCCAGCATCTCAGAATGGCAGGAGCAAATGCTGTCTTCTTATGGTGAATCAGGTGTGTCTGTGTCAGCCCTTCTCTCAGAACACACGCCCTCTAGCCCGGAAAGCATGTGGGCTGTTTTCCTTCTTGTAAGGCAAACAGGCTGACTTCAGAGCTTAGAGCCTTTTTGCTATAATTTGCTGTGGGCAGCATCTCTCAACAGCATTGGTGCACAGGCCAGGAGAGCATCTTAGCTCAGTAACTCAAGGAATAGACTGGCCCTGTCCACGCACTGAAATGCTGATCTGATGTGGGCTCAAGGTGGTTCAGAGCCCAGAACCGTGTCCATTTAGGAAACCTGGGCAAGCAGGAGACTTCCAGACACACTGGGGTTCCCTGAGCCTTGCAGCTGGAGAGAGGAACAAGTTCCCCTAACCTCAGCAAATCTCAAGGCTATGAGAAGAAGCCCTCTCCTGTTCACTGCATCATTGTCACTGCAAGGGGGAGGACGGACTTCAGGTAAGTGAGGGTGGGAGCTCAGCAGCCCCGAGCACCTTTCTGAATCAGACCCTAGATGTGCCAGCTTCCCTCGGTGAGCGCAGTCATTATGTACTGTAAACGCGCTAATAAAAATTTAAAATTTTTAAATGTTAGTGTATTTAACACTCAAAAATGGTTGAGAATGGGGGCTGGGGATTTAGCTCAGTGGTCCCACCTCCTGCCTCACAAGCTCAAGGTTCCGAGTTTGATCCCCGGTACAAGTAAAAAGGTTAAGATGGTACATTTTGTTTTATCATAAATAAAATTTTAAGTTAAAAAAAGGTACAGTTTTAGAGAGGGTAGAAGGTAGCTAGGGAAATGACTTACTGAAAAGCTCCCATTTGGAATGGCAGCGTCCTGAGGAAAGTGAGGGAGCCCAGCATGCTGCAGTCGCAGGCAGTGATCAGCTAGAGGGAATAATACCCCTGAGAGGGAAGTGGGCCGGGTGGTGGAACAGAAAGGAAGCACTGAGGGGATCACAGGCCAGGCTGCATCAGGCTGTCATAAGCCATTTAAAAACCAGCTTTTACTCTGAACGAGGAGAGAAATTGGCTGTCTCTGTTGTAAGAGTAGAAACGGCAGGGATGGGAGCCAAGAGACTCCTTTGGGACCCTTGTGACTGAACTAAGTGATTGTAGCTGTAACCAATCATATGGGGGGTGGGAGGCATTAGGGGTGGTTGCATTCAAGATGTATTCTGAAGATGGAATAGACAGGATCTGCTGATGATCGGATTTGAACATAAGAGAAAGGAGTAGTTAAGGCGACCCCTAAGGCTTTTGGCCTATACGGGTGGGAGGATGAATTTGTCACTGATCAAGATGATTAAGATGTGGATAAGGGCCAGGGATTGCCTTGTTTTCTTTGCTCAACTAAAAAAGTAAAAGATCTGTTGGGATTTGAATTTCTCTTAACATGTGAGTGAGGTTGAGTCTTTTCATATATTTAAGAAAAAAATTTTTTTCTTTTCTATCTGCCTGTTCTTTGTTTTTTCTTTTCTTTTTTTTTTTTTTTTT